GGACTCTGACCTTTAATCTGTTGAACTTTGACCTTTATACTGCTGTACTCTGACCGTTAACCTAGTATTCTGTATTCTTGTAAAGTTTTGTGCAGCAGTCAGCAGCAGCAGGAGGAAGCCGGCCAGATGTGAATTTCCACGGGCTGTGAGGGTTTTCCAGTGTGGGCGGAGCGAGCAGAGCAGGAAGTATCCTGTCAGCTGTGGTTTCTGTCAGACACGTCCTGCTGCTGGCTCTATAAAGGCAGGAGGACCGGACCGGACTTTGTTCCAGCAGGATGGCCGTGTTGGTAGATATGATCCACGGCCGCTGTCCCACGTGCACGGCCGCCTTTCTGCAGCGGAAGTCGGACTCGCGGCTCTTTCTGCTCTGTGGGGACTCCCTCGGGGGGTACGAGGCGCTCCTGAGTCCCCGCAGCCAAGTTCACGTCCTGGACTGCAGCTCCACCGCGGAGTGCCTGTACAGATTCAAACAGACCCTGGACCAGCTGGACCTGAGCGCCATCAGGGTCTACACAAGTCCTCGAGGTCGAGAGGTGCTGCTTCAGTACCAGGAGCTGCTTTTTACCTCCGTTTACAGCTTCGACTACACAGAGGAGCAGCTCACCTGTCAGCGCTGCAGAGGCTCCGCCCACACCGACTCACCTGCTCTGCACGCGCAGGAGGACGTGTCCAGGTTTCTGCAGCAGCTGCCTGCCTCAATGGGACAAATCAGTATTCTGAAGTCTCCACTGATTCCAGGTCGGTTTAATGCCTCAATGCAACAATAAATCCTGTCCAGATGCTCCAGATGTTGCTCAGACACACCTGATGGAAACAAAATGAAACCATAAGTTTGGTGCAGTCAGGGTCTTATCAATAAGTCCGCAGTCAGTGGTTTTTGTGAGTCTGTACTGCAGTTCCCTACTTCGGATCATGTCCCATACTTTGACAAGCTCCCTGCAGGACAGACGTTTTTCTAACATCTGGACTCGGCCCAGTGGTCATTATAAAAGTAGGAGACGCTCGTATGTAAAGGATGATTTTAATCCTTTAGAGGGGGAACTGTGCACACGAGGCAGGTGTCTCAGCAGCTGAGCTTCATGAGACACAGGAAGAACCCAGTAAAGCTTAAAGTGTAGAGGTGGACTGACAGCTTTCTATGGTCACTGCTGATTTATTTTATTTTGGTCTTTAGAAATCAGCAGCTGATGGCCAGCATGCAAGACTTTCACTTTTTGACCAATATCTATTCATCTTAATAGAATGTAACACTATTTGCATAACTTAATAAAACACACTGCTACTACTTTGTAGTTAAAGTTGCACAGAATGGGTCTGTTGCTGATTTATTTTTAAAAGTGTCATTAAGATCAAAGCTGCCAGCCGATCGTCACTCTGTCTATTAAAGTGTGCCACCAAACCCTGAGGTGCAGTCAGGCTTTGGATTAATGCGCCTCTCGTCTCAGAAGTGTTTGGATTTTTCGTCTCCCTGAACGTCAGCCGTCTTCTCCGTCTCTGTTTCAGAGTGTTTCGGTCACGGTTTCAGCACTCGTTCTGGTGGCGTGTCCTACATCCCAACGCTGTCCTCGTTAAATCTGTTCAGCAGCAGCAAGAGGAGGGACCCTGTGGCCGTGGTGTCCGAGAACAGACGACGACTGGCCCTTCATGCCGGCTTCCACCCTCTGCCTCTACGTTTTGTCAAAGTACTTGCTTACTTTATCGATCTGTGCAGCACGTTTATAATTATCACAATAAAAATCAGCTTGTTTCCTTAAAACCTGCTTCCTACAGGTGGACCACGCCAGTGACGTCTGGGTTTTGGGGCAAGCTGAGCCTGAAAGCTACGACTCCATGGTGACGGATCAGAGCGGGGTGGTTTTAACGGCTCCAGGTGCAGACTGCATGCCCATCCTGTTTGCTGACCCGGTGAAGAAGGTCATAGGAGCCGCTCACGCAGGTACGAAGATCTTTGACAGGAGTGGTGGACAGGTAATACGAAGAGCGTAATAACTGGTTTGTGCTCACGGTTCATGAGCTGCACAACAAAAGTGATGTCACTGCGAAGGTTTTTGTAACGTGTTGCATGAGTGTTGAGTTATAAACAGGAAGAGCCGCAGGGCAGAACATGTGAGCAGATTTGTTCCATCGACCAAACAAATGAACAAAAAGCCAAGAGCCAATCATTGCACACATTTTCAATAAACGTCAGAAGTGCTTAGCTAATATGAAACATTCTAGTTATTAACAAAAAGGTTAAATCGTGTCATCTGGACCAGTTTCTTTAAGTGAAGAAACGTTTCGTCCCCCATCCAGAGGACTTCCTCAGTCTGCAGCCTGCCAGCAGCTCTGTCCTCACTGCTGTTTCAAGACAACGTCCTGTTGGAATGTCAGAAGCAGCTTTTACCACGCCCATCCAAAACACTCATCATGAACAACAATCAAATGTTAGAGGCCACATGGACAACTTGCTGCTCACAGAAACAGCCTGAGGACAACCAAGTCAAAGTTGTGCACCAGCATAATGTCACTATTCATACCACAATCCTTCCGTACAGATCTTACATCAGTGAACCGAATGAAACAATGAAGTGAAACTAACTTTAACTCTTGAGTTTCCCCCTCACATCTGTTGAACTGTAGTGAATGAAGCTGCGCTACACACAGTGAACTCCACTGAACCTTCAAGGATGAGCCAAAACACTGACAGCAGCTCATAGGAGGACTTCCACCTGAGCCTCAATAAATTATTATTATTATTAGACCTTGATTTATACAGGTTAGTTCCTATTGAGCCTCGAAGACTCATTTACAAGAGAGACCAGGTACATGAGTCTGTTTACAGCAACATTTCTAAATCTGCAATTCAAGTTTCTTCCTCATCGCTTTGGAAATGTAGTAGAGAAAGCTACACGGCTACAAAAAGGCTAGCACCAAATGTAAACTATACAAGCTGATCTTCCTGCGAGTGGTGCCCATGGTCCAGGGTGCCCATGGTCCAGGGTGCCCATGGTCCAGGGTGCCCATGGTCCAGGGTGCCCATGGTCCAGGGTGAAGGACTCGGACATGGCCGAAGCAAGCAGCTGACAAGACACCATATTCCTCTCTCAACAAACAAGTTTAAACATGCGCCGAAAGTTAGAAAAAGTTACATTTGATCTAGCAACATATGTTTTGTGGCCCTTTGTGAGCTCGCCATGGCTCACTCGAGGCTTCTTCCATTGCACAGTTTATGTTGAAGGCATGCGTGTCTCCTGCCCCCCTGCAGGCCGAAGTTTTAAACAAACATGTTACAGTTTGTTGGTGCTTGCAGCATGTGTTGGGGAGTGACTCAGAACAAGTCTGTTTGATGTGTGCAAGACTGAATAAATTATGGGCATTTTTATGTTTGCTTGGGTCAGTTAACTGTGGCAGCCATCTTGAATTGAGTTGACTTCAATAGTTAATCAGTTGTAGATGAACAGGGGGAGCGGTGGTGCAGAGGTTAGAGAAGGTGGACCTGTGATCTGAAGATCGCCGGTTCAACTCCTGGTATTGAAACATCAAAATGTGGGTGGGATAGGTGAAGCACCCACACCTGTCTCCACCCTAATTTGCCCCACTCAGGGCCTTTGAGCAAGGCCCATAACCCCCACCATCCGCTCCCCTGGGTGCCCCACATAGCAGCTCTCTGCTCCACACAGAGGGCTGTGGTAGCTCGGTGTCTGTGGTTGAGTCAGGAAGGACATCTAAATTTAATTTAATGTCAATTCAGTTTATTTATAAAGCGCCAAGTCGCAAGAGAAGTCGTCTCAGGGACTGAACAGAAACATTCGTATTTAAAAATAATAATTTAACATTATTCATCTGAGGAGCAGACTGCTCTGAGTTTAACTCTCATCTTGAACAAGCATGAAGGCGACAGTGGAAAGAAAAACTCCCTCATGAGGAAGAAACCTTTATCAGAACCAGCTCAGGACAAGAGGACATCTGCTTCAACCGGCTGGGTTTGGTAGTAACAGATACACAATGGCAGGTCAAGAATCACATGTTAAGATAGAAATAGTATCAAATGAAAACTATTCAATTTTAACAATTCATTGGAGGAAATGAAGTCAGTTTGTCCTCTAGTAGACAAAGTCTGTATTAGCATAACAAGCCGACACTAATTATTAGATTTATCAACAAGGAAAATCTTGAGCCAGAAAAGGGTAGAGTGCCCTCTCTGGATCAGGGAGGAGGTCCTGCCCCAAGTGGAGGAGTTCAAGTATCTTGGGGTCTTGTTCACGAATGAGGGAAAAATGGAGCGTGAGATCGATAGGCGGATAGGTGCAGCGTCTGCACTGAAGCAGGTGTTGTACAGGTCTGTTGTGGTGAAGAGAGAGCTGAGTCAAAAGGCGAAGCTCTCAATTTACCGATCGATCTACCTTCATACCCTCATCTATGGTCATGAGCTTTGGGTTATGACCGAAAGAATGAGATCTCGGATACAAGCAGCCGAAATGAGTTTTCTCCGCAGGGTGTCTGGGCTCTCCCTTAGAGACAGGGTGAGAAGCTTGATCATCCGGGAGGGACTCAGAGTAGAGCCGCTGCTTCTCCACGTCGAGAGGAGCCAGTTGAGGTGGCTCGGGCATCTGGTTAGGATGCCTCCTGGACACCTCCCTGGTGAGGTGTTCCGGACACGTCCCACTGGAAGGAGGCCCAGAGGAAGACCTAGGACACGCTGGAGGGACTATGTTTCTCGGCTGGCCTGGGAACGCCTCGGGATTCCCCCGGAAGAGCTGGCCCAAGTGGCTGGGGAGAGGGAAGTCTGGGCCTCCCTACTTAGGCTGCTACCCCCGCGACCCGACCCCGGATAAACGGAAGAAAATTGATGGATGGATGAAAGTCTTAAGCCCAGTCTTAAAACTGGACAATGTGTCAGTCTCACGGACAGAGATTGGAAGTTGGTTCCACAAGAGAGGAGCCTGATAACTAAAAGATCTTCCTCCCATTCTGTTTTTGTAAATTCTAGGAACCACAAGTAAACCTGCAGTCTGAGAGTGAAGTGCTCTGTTAGGAAAATATGGAACAATAAGAGCTGTAATATAAGATGGAGCTAGGTTGTTGAGAGCTTTGTAGGTTAGAAGTAAGATTTTGAATTCTATTCTTGATTTGACAGGGAGCCAATGGAGAGAAACTAAAACTGGAGAGAGATGATCTCTCCCAGTAACTCCAGTTAAGACTCTGGCAGCAGCATTTTGGATCAACTGAAGACGTTTTAAAGAAGTATTTGGACACCCAGTTAATAAACCATTGCAATAGTCCAGTCTAGACGTGACAAATACATGGACCAGTTTTTCTGCATCATCTTTAGATCAGATGTTTCTAATGTTAGTGATATTACGCAGGTGGAAGAAGGAGGTTCTAGTAACGTTTTTAATGTGGGGGATAAAAGACATGTCCTGATCAAAAATAACACCAAGATTTTTAACATTAGAGCTGGAGGACAGATTAATGCATCTAAGGAGGGAGAAAGACTGAAAAATTCATTCCTAAGGTGCTCAGGTCCAAAAACCAAAACCTCAGTTTTGTCTGTTCAACAGGAGAAAATTAAGGGTCATCCAGGTTTTTATGTCTTTAAGACATGCTTGTAGTCTAAGTAGCTGATTGGATTCATTTGATTTCATGGACATAACTGTGTATCATCAGCATAACAATGAAAATTTATCCCATGCTGTTTAATAACATTATTTAATGGAAGCATATACAAGGTGAAACGTATTGGTCCAAGCACTGAACCTTGAGGAACTCCATGACTAACTTTGGTGTATGAAGAAGATTTATTATTTACATCTACAAACTGGAATCTATCAGGTAGATGTGATTTAAACCATTTTAGAGCCGTTCCTGTAATCCCAACATCATATTCAAGCCTCTGTAGTAAAATATTGTGATCAACTGTATCAAATGCAGCACTGAGGTCTAACAGGACCAGTGTAGACACAAGTCCATTGTCTGAGGCCATGAGAATATCATTAGTGACTTTTACTAGTGCTGTTTCTGTGCTATGATGAGCTCTAAAACCTGACTGAAACTCTTCAAACAGATTATTTCTTTGTAGATGTTCACGCAACTGACCTGCAACTATTTTCTCTAGAATTTTTGAGATGAAAGTTAGATTAGATATAGGTCTATAGTTGGCCAGGATTTCTGAATAAAGATCAGACTTCTTAAGTAAAGGTTTAATTACAGCAACCTTAAAGCGCTGTGGTACATAACCATCCATTAAAGACAAATTAAGCAGATCCAAAATGAGGTTATTAATTAATACATATTTAAATTGTCTGGTTTAAATACACCTGATGTAAAAATAATTGCCAAGTCTTCGTGTGACTTAGTTCACTGTGGTGACTTCTGAAGAAGAGAGCAGCTGAAAGATGAACACTCAAAAATTACTTTGATGATTTTATTGAAATTCATCCACTGATCATGAGATATTTTGCTAACAGACTGTGAAGTCCATTCTTTCACACAGGGACGCTGTCCCTTCAGCAGACAAGTGTTTTTTATGAAACGCTTTCTTTTTAGAGAGAAAAGAGCAACGCTTCCTGCTCGTCTTTTCGGTTGTCCATGTTGGTGTCCAACATGTCTCAGCACGCCACAGCTTCTGCTCCGTCCCACCTGGAGCCATTCTCTGATCACAACCAACAACTGGTGGTGCTAAAAGCTCCTCTCTCTCTGCTGCACCAGAAACAAACTAAACCATTGCGCCTGAGGAACGGTCCACAAAAACCATCCAGTTTATGGACTTTACATTAAACCATATGAAGTTTGTTTAATCCGTTCATTAATTAGTCCGTTAAATCCTTCATAAGACGTCTCAGACACCGTGTCCTCATACTGGGTAATACTGAGACGTTGGCTTCCATACAAGAAGTATTTCATTCTGTTCAACTTGTTTTTATTCAAGGAATTTAACTTTTAATCGTCTTAAAACCTTCTTTCTAATTGTCCACCGGCTACTGTAAAAGTTGGGCACCAATGCAGTTGCCTATTATTGTTTGTCTGTTAGCAAAATATCTAAACACTAAGTGGATTTTAATGAAACTGTGAATAAACTGTGAATAGGCATATACTTCTTATTCACTTTTGATTCAAAATGGCCTCCGCAGCTAACCAAACGTAGAAGCTGTAAAAAGACGGTACCTCAGTTATTTCAGACGTGTCAGACTTGGTGGGGCAGGAACTGAGAGTCATCCCTGTCAGACACTCTGAGGGCTAACACCTCACCCAAGAGCTTCATTTTAGAATGTTAGCACTCAAGGCTAAATAAAGGAATGCTTGTTTTAATTTTTAAATAATTTTACGTTTTTATTTACTAATATTTCAAAACAATATCAGATTTTTTCTGCGAGGTCCTACTAATCCTAAAAGCTTAAAAACTGCACAACAAAACAAACTGATGTGAGGAGTTGAGATCCACCACCAGACTGATGGCAGGCAGGTGCAACGTCATGTTAGCTGCCGTCGTTTAAATAAAGTTGCTGCGGAACATGAACCTCTGTTAAAGTAATAAAACCAAGTGATCGTGATGGACCCCTCTTTGATCATGTCAGATGAACTGGTTGTAACGATAGGTGAACTTTATCTCCAAGGTTGGAGGGGGACATTAATGGGGGTGACCAGGAGGACGGTGGACGCGATGGTTGCACATTTCGATTGCCAAGTGAGCAACATCGTGGTGGTGGTGGGACCATCAGTGGGGGTGTGCTGCTTCACGCTGGACAGAGAGCAGGCGCTGGACTTCATCAGGGTCCATCCAGACTGTGTCCCTGATCCAGAGTCAGCCAAACCACACGTCGACATCCGCCTCGCCAACAGGTTCTTCTCGTTTCCCTTCTTTCTTCTTCTTCTTCTTCGTTCTTCAGGGGTGGCCACAGCGAGTCATCCCCTCCATCTTTTGTCAGATGTCTTGTAACGAGCTAAATTTGAACTTTTTCACATCAAGTTTTCAGCCTGCTCATTTATCCAAACCTTCTTCCACCGTTTCAGAGTTCTCCTTCAGGAAGGTGGTGTTCTGCCAGAGAACATCCATGATAATTTGGTGGTGGAGCGTCCCATTGTGACACCCTGCACCTCGTGTCTTCCTGAAGACTTCTTCTCCCACGTCAGGGATGGACTCAACTTCGGCACCCAGGTGGGCTTCCTGTGGATCAAAGAGACAGCATCTACAGCCACGTAGACATGGGCCGACACCTTTTTAAATCCTGGAGATCTCCACCAGAACTTCACTCTAAGAACACCAGCAGACAGAGGCCAGGAACCAGCTGCAGGAGCAGCCAGCCCAGCTGAGGAAAACCAACACTGTCATGGTGGATATGGACTCTGAGAGTTCCCTCCATTAAAAATCAAGTTTTCAACCATGTTATCCTTTTTGGGGTTTATCTACACCAGCAGACACATGGACAGTTCCAGTCCACTTGAGTCATTATGAACCCAATCAGACGCCATCCTTTGTACTTTTGTAAAAAGAAATAGAATAAAAAACAATTGTTAATCAAAAACATACTGAAATGTGCAAAGTCCAGTGTTTAAACAGAATGTACTTAAATAAAACCTTTCCATCTGATAAAGACACTCAAAGCTCTTTACAACAAAATCTGTGTCCTCGACCTCCACACACGCATTCATACAGCACTCTACTACGCACATGCATGTATACTGTGCTCTACTACCCACATGCATTCATACGGCACTCTACTACGCACACACATTCATACAGTACTCTACTACGCACAGGCATTTATACGGCGCTCTACTACCCACATGCATTCATACGGCACTCTACTACACACATGCATTCATACAGCACTCTACTACGCACATGCATTTACACTGCGCTCTACTACCCACATGCATTCATACAGCACTCAACTACGCACATACATTTATACTGCGCTCTACTCCCACATGCATTCATACAGCACTCAACTACGCACATGCATTTATACTGCGCTCTACTCCCACATGCATTCATACAGCACTCTA